TCTCAAAGTAAAATATGTTAACTGTGGTGTATATGTGAATCATCTGTTGTGTATTTAAATTGCTTGATTGAACATTTTTGTTGTGGCATTATTGTCTGCATCTATTAAGCATCATGTCATATGAAACCATGCAAAATTCTGCATTTTCAGGTCTTGAGTCGACCATACCAGAACAGAGGTCGACGCACTCTGTTCAACATTTGAAATTATTGAAATTTTTACAGCATGCGTCGACGCATGCAGAGCTATGGTCGACGACTCGCTGAAAAATACAGTTTTATTTTTCTGGCTGTTCATTTCAGGTCTCCTCATTAATGGTAGTTACATGCATCCACTCATATTACTAGGGAGTTGCATCTATTCTCTCCACTACTTCTTCTTGTCTCTTCCACTTTCCAACAAACCCTAAGTTTTCTCTTAAAAAGGGTGAAACTATTGTTCTGAACCCACAACAAAAACCTCTCATTTCAGAATTCTCCCATTTCTCATTACCCACCAAAATCTCTACCCATGGCTTCATCTTCTCACAGACCCACCAAAAAGAGGTCAAGAGGGTCAACATCTGCCTCAATACCCATTACCCCAGAATCTCTTGTTCATCCATCTCTTCGAGAGAACTTCAACAAGGATATTGGTAGAAGAAAGGTTGTACGACAATATGCATTCTACGAACTTGTCGCCGAACGCATGCATCTTGGAGAAATCATGACCTATCTCACATATCACGGCATTGAGAGATTTCTTGAATGCAATGCCAAGTATAGTGAAGACCTGGTACGTATTTTCTATACTGGTCTCAATGATAAATTTCATGGTGAAAATTTCCACTCCGTTATCGGACCCACTCAGGTATCTCTAAATTCTGAAATTTGGACCAAATATTTTGATATGATTGTGGAGGAAAATGAACCTCCTCTGGCTGAAGTAACTGATTCACGCACAATTGAAGGTTATGAGTTCAAAACTGCACTGAATGGTATGCTTAAGCGACCCTATCCTGACCACATTGTGAACAGTGCTGCTTTTCCACGATCTGTCACTTCCGGAAAACTCAAAACTTCAGCAAGAATTCTTCAGTGGATTGTGGCGCGCATTCTGCGGCCCAAACAGGGTGGATTATCAAGAGTGGAACAGGCTGAAGTTCATCTCATACATATCCTGGGTCACGACATCAAAATCAACTGGCCGTATTACATTGCGAGTCGTATGTATGAATTGCGTGACTCCAAATGAAGTACGGCACTTGCCTATGGATCCTTCATCCAAAAGGTCCTCAATTCTGCAAATGTGAACTACCCCTCCTTTGCATACACTTCCATTTCTGCTGACAAAGAATTCAGTCCAAAAGTTTTCTCAATGATGGGATACGTCTGGATTCGTAAATACCAGAAGTACAAATTCTATCGCCGTGCAAATATGCCTCAGTCCGAATCATCAAGTGAAGAGAGTGCAGATGAGTCCGAAGGTGAAGAGAATGAAGAAAGTGCATATGGTTCAGATGAAAATGAAGAAGAACAAGAACAGGATACACAGGCTGCTGACACAATGCAACCAGACCAAGCTGATCATACAGAGCGTCAAACATATGAGCCTCCAGACAACTATCAAGAGCCGCCACCAAATTTCAACCTCAACTACCAAGAGCCGCCACCAAACTCCAACCTCAATAATGATTGGACTGCTTACACGGGTCAACAAGAAACTGACAGTGAGGAAAACAACCAAGGCTAGGGTGAATGGCAATACACTGGGTGGACCACACTTGGGAGATTTTATCAGCCCTATCAACACAGCTCTGAGGCACCTCCTTCTCCTCAACAGCCATCCAACAACTCCGACATTCTGGAAATGATGCAGTCCATGCAATTAGACCAACGTAATTTCATGACCACTATGCAGGAACAACAGTAGAATTTTATGAGAAGTCAGGATGAACGGATGGAACAAGTTCGCTCTGAGCTGCAAACTCAAAATGAACGGATCAGTGGAATCTCCACACAGCTGGATGCTCGCTTTGAGATTCTCGTTCACTCCCATCAAGCTGAAGAACGGGCAATCACTGAGAGTCTCGACTTCCTGAACAACATCACTGAAGAGTTCACTGATTTGGCTCATCCTCAACGTCATCCCTATTTCTATGAGAGGCGTGGTCGTGGTCGTGGACGTGGACGGGGTTATTAGCTTGTGTTCGCCTTATTATGGCTTATTTTGCTGTTTTGAGTGCATGCATCATAGTCTCTTTCGTTGTTTTTGGTTGCAAACTTTGTTATGGTGTTTTGTTTAAATTCCTAATTTCTGTCAAGACTTTATGTGCTGCTACTTTATGTTTCTTAATATATTATGTATTAATATGGGTGTATGCTTAATTATTATCTGTTGGCTATATTGTATGGCTTTTTCCTTGATTTTATGTTAGTTATATTGTTAATCCGTCAAGACTTTATAGCTCTCGATTTCTTTTTGATGTTGTCAAAGGGGGAGGAAAGCGTCAACCACCACAAATGCTTTGACTGAAAAAGAAAGGGGGAGAGCGTACAACTATGATTAAAGACATCGCATGTTGTGTGCAACAGGTTGTCATCATCAAAAAGGGGGAGAATGTGAGGGCAAGTTGTCTCACAATACATGCCTCTGAGTTTTCGATGATGACAAAACAAATTAGAAGCATCATGCAATACCTCATCATGCTATATCTCTTTTTTCATTGCTATACCTCTTTTTCATTGTTAAATCATTATACCTTAATATGTGTCATAATTGAATGTGGAAGGATGCACAAAATGGAAAAAGCTGTTAATTTTGCAGGTTTCCAAGCAGTGAGTCGACCATACAGTCGGCGCATGAAGCCTGGCATTTCGCACGGCTCAGCGCATGGAAGCTATGCGTCGACCGTACAGTCGGCGCATGGGTGTTTTGATTTTCCACGGATCAGCGCATGAAGACATGCGTCGACCGTGCCACTCAGCGCATGGAGCTGAGGATTTCCCACGGGTCAGCGCACGCCGACCCTATGGTCGACCGTTCGCGCGCTGTTCTATTTTTCTTGCTGTGTTTAAAATTTTGTTTTGTTGACTGTTTTGATTATTACTATAAATAGAGTTTTGCTAATTTTTTTTAAGACTAACAATTGAAATCTTGAGTAAATTGTCAGGGCAAGAAACGTGAAATAGGTGCAACAAATTTCTTCATCTTCATCCCTCACACAACACACAAATCCACAAAGATACACAATCATTTTTGCTGTGATTAGTGTCTTGTTCAAAGGGTGATAAGGTTCAAACGCGTTGATTGAAGATCCGGTTCGAGTGGAAATTGGGGCAGGTGTTTCTTGCAGAAAACCTTGAGGGTTTTACCCATCAAGACTAGAAGGTTTTGAGGGTTTTTGTCACGGAATAGTTCGTTCAACATTCAAGCAGGTGCGAAGGTAATTGATCAACGGAAGGTTCATCAATTTAGTAGCGAGGGCGTTGAAGTGTTGAAGACTTTCCGGGTTTGATTTGTTGGTGTCTAAGATCAGCCGAGCCGAAGGTTTGAACAACGGAAAGTTTTTCATTAAGGTGGCTGGAACCGGAGGTCATTCACAACAAATTGAAGGGCTTGATTCATCTTGAATCAAGGTGCAAGAAGAGATAGCAAGCATCAACAACATTTGAGATTGTTTGTATCATTGTCTATCAACTCTTGTGTAAACTGTTCATTCCAACAGGTGATATATATTCAATATATCTCAATTCTAATTTTAGAATTGAGGGCAGACGTACCCCGAAGCGAGGACGACAGGGGAACTGCCTCATCAAATCGTGTGTTCTTTAGTTTCTCTCATTTTCAATTCAGCTTATAAAATAAGTGATTCTAGCTTAAGTGATTATTGTCAAACTGTGATACAAATTGAGTAAGGTGTTGAAACTCTGTTTTAACTACTAAGTACAATAAGAATATTGTACTAAGGCATTTCCAATCTCTTACTCAACATAAATATCCTTTGTGATATTTGTGCACACAAACTGTTCGACAAAAGTCCTGAACTAAAATTGTCTTATTTTACTTCTAGTTTTTGTGTGCCTTGTTTTTTCATTGGAACTAGGCAACCTTGCAAATTGAAGTATACAATTGATAAGCATAGTTTGTGTTGTGATTTTATTTTTCCGAATTGTCATAAATCCATAGGCTTACATATATCCGGTTTTCCAATAACCGTTCGTTTTTAGACTATAATTTTCCTCGGCCGCTTCCGCACTTAAAACTTTTTTAAAACCAATTTCAAATTGCTAGCGCCGACTCAAATTTTAATTGGGGATCTATTCAACCCCCCCTTCTAGATCCGTGCCATAGTCTAACAGAACATACATGACATTATGTCAACCACATGCAGCAGCAACACCATTGAGTTTAACTATAGATTCACATTTCACAATATAGCCATAACATACAACACATATGAGATTTCTGCACCCAATATTGAATTATTATTCAACTATAGGAGCTTTATAATAGCAAAGATTCAATGCATGATCTAATAGATCACAATTATACGACTGATGGGGATTTGAATTTGATTGTTCATTCATGTTAAAAAAATCCCTCTGAATAGACTTCATAACATAGTGTTTATTTGCATCAAAAGGATCTTGAATGTAGAAGCATTGGTGGACTTGAGAAGCCAAGACAAAAGGATCATCCACATAACACCTCTTGTTGAAGTAAACACAAGTCATCCCATATTTTTCCTCTTCAACTTCAAACCAATCACATCTAAATAACACAAACTTCAACTTACCATAGTAGTCTACCTCAATTATTTCTGTAATTATTCCATAGTATGTTATTGATTGTGTTATTGGATTTTCATCTTTGGTACTTGAATAACTTTCATTTATTGCCGCTAGTGTCAATAAAACCTAAGCCTTGACTCTTTGGTTTTCTCCACCCCTTGACTTTTTGGTTTGCTCCACCCCTTTTGTATGAAACTTATATCCATTAATTACATAGCCAGAAAAACTTCATGCAATTTTATTTGGTCCTCTGGATAGCGTCCTAAGGTTTCCTGATACATCACTTAACAATGCACGCTTCTTAAACCATTCAACAAAATCTAAGCCTTGACTCTTTGGTTTGCTCCACCCCTTTCTCTTGTTGGAATTTGAATTTTCATGCTCACTACAATTAAAATTATACTATTAAAGTTATTGTAAAACAAATCTTTTACAAAATTGGAACCTACAAGTATATTCATTTACCTTATAAATTTTTGGACATCTTCATGATTGAATAAGATGTAACGATGGGATAAACTCCTTGACTTGCAATCCAACGAAATTGCTTCACCCTTTCTCTTTCCTCCAATAGGATGACCAACGTTAAGACAAGAGCTTGGACTTTCATGTTCATGAGGATCAAATCTATCGCTATTTCTTGTCATTCTAGCGAATCTTGTTTCAACACCACTATGCAAATACCGAGAGCAAAATGTCAAGTATTCTTCAACCAAATAACCCTCAGCAATAGAACCCTCAGGACGACTTTTATTACGAACATAACTCTTCAATTTTCCTAGATATCTTTCTGGAAAGTACATCCACCGAAATTGAACAGGTCCTCCCATTCTTACCTCATTCACTAGATGTATTGGCAAATGAACCATTATATCAAAGAAACTTGGGGGGAAAATTGTCTCGAGTTGGCAAAGTGTTTCTGCAATCTCAGATTGTAAGATATCCAAATCTGCCACCTCAATAACCTTCTGACACAAACAACGAAAAAATGAACAAAGACGGATTAATGGATGTGCAACCTGTTTTGGTATTGTACATCTCACATCCACTTGAAGCAAGTAATGCAACATGAAATGTGCATCGTGGCTCTTGTATCCGCTAACTTTTTTTTCTACAAGTTGAACACATCTTGAAATGTTTGAAGCACAACCATCAGGTATTTTTTCATTTTTCAATACAAAGCAAAAAGTAGTTTTCTCCTTTTTAGTCATGGAAAAACATGTTTTTGCAAACACTGAATTTTTTCCTTGATCTACCTCATTTGGGTGAAGTTTATGTCTAATATCTGTTACGGTGAGAATCGTGATACCAAGCTATTGATTAACTTGAATCTTTATTCTTAAATTCACAACCTGACTTTAATTTATCCAAAGGAAAGGTCTAAAGAAAGAAAGGACCTTTTGCGCGATGTAACAACAACGCTAAGAGATTCGGGGATTGGGGGTTGGTTATGCCTAGGGTAGGTATCTCACATCCTAAACATCTGTAGTATCCTACAGGAACCTTTTGTTTGTTTGTATGCTAAGTTTGCTAAATGTTTGATATGGGTTGGGATTGGGTAAAAGGTGTAGGTTAATACCTAAAGATAGTCTCTAAGGTTGCTCGTCAAGATATCGCATCTTGTGCCTACGTATTCTTACTAGGATAGAATCAGAGAAATCGTAGTTCATCTCACTAGGGATGAAGAACACTTGATTATGATCAAGGTTCAAAGGGGAACAAACATAACAATGCTTGTGTAGAGTTTATCCAAACTCTCTAGATCTACATTGTACACTCAAGAAAGGGGAGTAAGTAATCATTTCCATGATCCTTACATAGAGTTAACTAAACTCTACCTAATTCTACGTTGTAAGACCAATTGGTTCTATCCAGACCAAAAGGAAGGAAGAAGGGGGAAGGTTGCTCGTCAAGATATCGCATCTTGTGCCTACGTATTCTCATTGTCCAATGAGAAATCAGAGCGGTCGTAGTTCGGGCGCGAACTACAGAATAAGGATCAATTGGTTCTTTCCAGACCAAAAGAGGGAGAAGGTTCTATCCAGACCTATGAGGTTATATCCTAATGGTTCTATCCAGACCAAAGGGGGGAAGGTTCTATCCAGACCTATAAGTTTAAATCCTATTGGTTCTATCCATACCAAAAGGGGAGAAAGGTTCTATCCAGACCTATGAGTTTAACTCCTATTGGTTCTATCCAGACCAAAAGGGGAGAAAGGTTGTATCTAGACCTATAAGTTTATTGAGCTATCTATGAGCCAAGGGTCAATAGAGAGACTTTCCTTTGGAAGGGAAAAGGTGAGGCAACTTGGATGAGAACTAAAGAGTTTCATCACTTGGGGAAAGTAAACTTAACAAAGCATAAGCATTCACACATGATGAATATAAGGGATATGGTTACAACCAAGAATAAGCAAGAATATTACAATAAGCAAGTATTTGAATGAGGATGAATGGGTACAACCAAAGCAAGCAATTAAAATATTACAATATCAATGATTTCAATCAAGGTAAATGGTCACGACCAAAGCAAACATCAAGATATTATAATATCCAGAAGGGGAAAGTTCTTACAAGACTTAGTGAAAGGTAAAAACCAAAGCATGTCTTGACAAAGATAAGGGGTACATCTTAATAAAGATGGAAGGGGGTCTTAACAAAGATGAGATTTCATAGGGCTTACAAGATGACATGTATACTTACAGGCATCATGCCTAAACAAATAATGTCACAGCAAATGGTACACAAAAAGTTCACAAACTTCAATGGGAAAACTCATAAGTTTTAAGAGAAGATCAAACATTAATGCTCACAAGCAAAAGAGTTTAAGTCAAACTCCAGTACACAAGGATTCCAACAAGCCAAGGTTCATAGCTTTAAAATAAAACTCAAAAAGAGAATGAAATTAAAGTTGGCAAAGAGAGATGACAAGCAAGAAGGTGAAAACCCTAAACAATGCAAGGCTTTTTCATGGCATAAAGTATTTTTAAAATGCAAGTTCTTGAGTTCTTTGATTACCACATAAAAATAGGCAAAATTAAAAGACACTTTCAAAAAGAATCACTTGAAAATGATAAGAAATGACAAAGTTATACTATTTTGAAATTTCAAAGAAAAAACAAACATTTTAGTGATAAAAAATAAGGATGTGCGCTTGGTGGGTGTTGAACCCACCACCTTTGGGTTACCAATTCAAAATATGGCCAACTCAACTAGAGGCACGCATGTGTTAGATCAAGGAAAAAGATATAGAAAATGTGAAAACATGGAAATAATGAAAAAACAACCAAAAGGGTTGATCTCCACACGGATCGAACCCAGGTCATAGCAATGGCAAGGTAATATGAGAAACAAGGCATAACCACTGGGGTGGCGATACATCCGTGTATTACGCCACCCCTAATAATACATAAACCTCAAAGGCCTAATATTTTGGGCAAAAATCAAAGAGGAAAACAAGCAAGACAAGTCCAAACTGATTGATCTCAAACTTGACCAAATCTCAACAAATTTTAACAAGGATCACAATGGTGCTAACAGTTTTTCAAAATAATGAACACAAAGTGAAATTCGATTGCAAATGCAGGCTAAGGGTTTAAAATGATTTTTCAAAGTCACAACTCAAATCAAGACATGTTCAAGCCAATTAAAAGTTTGTACATACTTCAAATATATGGTTTATGAAACTCAAACTTAAAGAGGACTCAAAACCAAATCAAATCAGAGAATGGCACATGAACTGCAGCTGACAAGCATAAGCTAACAAACTTAGCTTCCAAGAACAGTTGTAGAGGGATTCAAAATATCATGACCTCACAAGGATGAATTCTTGACAGTGAGATTAAACCAAGACTTAAACATCATTAAACAATCAAAATGCCTTGTTTACTAATAGCAAAAGGAGCAAAACTGTCATGATTAGAAAGTTGGCTTATGGCAACATTTGTTCATAGACAGTTTTTAAAGTACTACTATGAAATTCAATATGGTTATGCTAGCCTCATTCATCAATTATGTACCTTAATCAGAGAATCTAATGATGCTATCCCACTAACCTACACACTAATGTTCAACAGCACCAAAAGGCCCTCACCAAATACAACCAAACTTCTCTAAACAACCAAACCAAGAAAACCTGCTCTTAACAATCCAACAGTCCATACAAGACCTCATTAACACAAATCTGGCTTCATCCTCCCAAACTGCTTAATGAAAGCACAACCTGACAACATCTAAATAAAAAAAGACAAACTTAGTCTAAAAACAGTCATGGATATGAACTACATTGTTTGAATCCCAACTCCAACCATCAAATTAAACCTAAAGTCTAAAGTCACAACCCTAAACTTAAGCTAAACACAAACAGGAGCCTTGACATTACAATGCCTAGGAAGCTAATGCAAAGTGACAACCACTCTAAGTATCTCACCATGGATTGATAAATCCATCTTCACATATATGCTAACAGCCACCCTAGTGCAAGATCCCAATGGCAGTCATATGCACACTTATTAAAATGCTAGATTAAATCAAGTATGCACTAAGTAACATAAACCACAAGCATGACTAGGAATTGAACCAACCAAATCTAGGCCTAAACAGAATTATGAGTTTGACATTACAATGTCAAGTCTAATGGGAATGAAGAGTTAGAAACTCATGCATTACAGTCCTAACACCAACTCCAACAGTAGACATGAACAACAGACTCACTATGAAAACAAAGCTTGAAAATTCAACCTGTCATGAATTTCAACAGAAACATGGTAACAACCTCATGAATTTAGCATGAACCAATACTAACTCAGTTAACAGTCACAACTCAATTGATCAAACATGGAAACTGACTTAGAAATGAACAACACTACAAATCTTGACATTACCATGTCAAGTCAAGAATGATTGTATTCTCAAACAAGTATACTTAAAGCAAACCACCATGAGTTGATAGTTTTAGACTTTAAAAACAAACCTTGATAAGACAAATATGAATCTTACCATGACAATGTTTAGATCAATTAACCATCAATCCACAACTCTATCCATACAGACAAACTTGTAAGCCTTGTGGCAGCATAAATGTAACATTCTTGGCATGACAATACCAAACAGTCTAAACAACAACCCCTCTAATGCTCTAATGACAGTAACAAATCACATAGATCTTTTCAAGCATAAGGTTTAAAATTCACAAATGAAAGTGACAACTTGATCATTACAATGCCAAACACCAAAGCCTTATAACAGTTATACCTTCCAAATGCCAACTACTAACATAACAATGTTCAAAGAGAAAATCAGAGCGTCTAACCTAGATCTCTTCATGTTGACAGATTTTAAATTCCAAAACAGTTTTGGTGTTAATAAATATAAAATCCACATAACAATGCTAAGCCTAAACTGACCGTGTATTATAACAACATACTTTCACAAAAGTAACAACATACCCCTTATCTTAATGACAGCCTAACATCAAATGCACATGGTATTGGCCAAGTCAAACCTCACACAAACTTTGACAGCAAAATAAGGTATTGGTCATCAACATCACATGAGTGATCCCAATAACCTTTACCAAGTCCAACAGAACTACATAACTTACAAGCATACTCAAAACATGTTAAAGACCAAGTTCAAGCACAAAAATGATTCAAAAGTGTACTAGCATTGAAAATGCCCTATGAGTTGAAAAATGCACATGAGTTTGAAAAGGGCCAAAACAGAAATGTAGCAGAACCCAAAACCAAACCAGTTTCAAATGATATCAACACCACATGAACCACACATATAAGGGCCTTTAAATCAAAATGCTTACAAACAGATTCGTGATTCAAAAATGTTGTTGCAACAGAAACAAACCAACAATATTCACAAACTGAACCAAATCCCAAACAGCATCAAACTTTCAAAGCAAGTGCAAGCAAACCTCATATGTTCATACATGACATAAGGCAATGTTTAGGAGAGTCTCTAAGAACAAGCACATAGCATCACAAAAATGTATGATAACAAGGAGGATATTGAACATATGGATGAGTAACAAAACCAAACCTCGCAGATTCACACATGGACTGTTTTTGCCTTTAATCTTAAACCAACTAAATGCACATTAAGCATACTCATGATAATTTAAGATGAGGATAGTGACTAACAACCTCTTGTAGACCTCCAAGAAAGCTAATATAGAAGGGAAAACCTTGAAGCTTCTAAA